CCTTTAAGCCTTCTTATGGAGGTAGGGTCCAGCCTGTGGGTAATGAAGAATGAGGTCTTACAATGACATCTGATCATGTCACCTTGTATTGGAATCCATCTTAAACCTGATGCTTTTCCATTTAGGAGGGGTGAGGACCCCGAGAGACAAAAGATTCCCACCTTATGCCAAAGATATAAAAGGGGGTGGAACAGAACAAAGGCATCCAGTCATGAGAAATCCCCTAGTTACCACCTGAGCTGGAACAAGGACTGTACCAGAGGAAAAGACTGGGCCCAGACTAGGAAGGAGTCTAGTCTGTGAAAGAAGCTTATTGGAACATCTCTGAGGGTGATAATTACCTGTATTCAGTTTCTTAATATATTAGGCTTGGACTTGCGTGTTTTGTTTTATTTTTCCTGGTAACGTACTTTGTTCTGTCTGTTATTACTTTAAACCACTTAAATCCTACTTTTTATACTTAATAAAATCACTTTTGTTTATTAACAAACCTAGAATAAGTGATTAATACCTGGGGGAGCAAACAGCTGGCCATATCTCTCTATCAGTGTTATAGAGGACGGACAATTCATGAGTTTACCCTGTATAAGCTTTAAACGGATTTGGGGTTTGGATTCCATTGGGTGTCTGGGTGCTGGAGAGGTGACCTGCTGAGCAGTTTTTGGTTAGTCTGCAGCTTGGGTGTGGACCAGACCTGGGTCTGTGTTGAAGCCGGCTAGCATGTCTGGCTCAACAAGGCAGGGTTCTGGAGTCCCAAGGTGGTAGGGAGGCTCAGAGGTAGTTTCAGCAAATCAAGTGACAGTCCCAAGGGGGTCTCTGTGACTGAACCCGTCACAATACCTTTTTTCCTCCCTCTCAAATATGAAAAACATGGTTGGGGTAACATTGTGCTAGAGTCTAGATAGACATCTAGTAAAAGACAGTCCTGCCCCAATAACATAAGTAACAGTGTATTTTGAAAGTTGTAAAATGTGCCCATTGCACAATCTTCCAGAATATGTGTTGGAATTATCAATAATATTTGAAATTAATAATATGGGAGACCACCAGACATTAATTTAACTATAATTCCTTTATTAAGTCCAAAGGCCAAATGGTATTTTATACAATTGCTCTAAACATGCCTAACAACCTAAAAATAAGCAGTCACTACACCCAGTACAGTAACAAAGTAGTTGTAAGCATTTGATCAGTATACTTAGAGACACACCAGACCTAAGTAAAAAACATCTAATCCATGTACTCCAGCATGATCAGGCAGGATCTCCCAAACAACCTTCAGATTCATGGCTCTCTTTATATCCTTCAGCTAATTTGCTATCTTGAGCAAAAATCCCATTCGAAGCAGTTTATCCTTGCTATTTTCCTTCCTCCAAGACCTTCCCTTCTTATCTCCTCCCCACTCCTTGCTTATCAGCAGAACGGTTGGAAGGTTCGTGCTTGTTTCTTTTAAGACAGTTTTTGTTTGTTACTGTAGCTCTTTATTGTATTGGTTACTTTTGGAACCAAACATCCTTCCCACACTACAAGCAATAAGTAATACTACTTATTCTCATGGCCTCTACCCCCATATGACACTGTCCTCGGGAGCCAAACAATCTTATTGCGTTATAGATGAAACCGCATTATATCGAACTTGCTTTGATCTGCTGGAGCACCCAGCCCCACCCCTCGGAGCGCTGCTTTACTGCGTTATATCTGAATTCGTGTTATATCGGGTCGCGTTATATCGGGGTAGAGGTGTATATTATTTTCTTAACCAGACTTAAGCTAACTTTAATTCTTTTATTATCCCCACAATATGCATGAAAGAGTAAAATAAGATATGCAATTTATTGGCAGAATGCAATTGTTCTTTCCCCACAATCAGTTTGCTGGATCAGAAAGAAGGCCCCAAGTCAGTTTAAATTCAGGCTATTTATCTAAAAGTCTACACTTTGTCTGTTGGTCTCTAGAGAATCCAGTTTGAATCAATATATGTGAGCCTCTCCAAGTGGTGGTAACGCTGGAGATGTTACAACCTGAGTAAATTTTCCAAATCACCCACACTGTTCTTAGTTCCTGGAGAAGCTGTGTTCGCCCACCCCCATGGAATTACATACAGTGTCTGGCCCACAATGTTACATATACTTAATACAGTAAGATCTTCTAAAGATATTGCAGTAAATTGCCATATCTGTCACAGCAGGCATCTTATATAGAGTAGTAATACTTTACATTTATAGTGCCCCTTTCATCTGAAGATCTCAAAGAACTTTACACTGTTGGGTGGAGTAAGTATTAACCCCACTTTACAGATAGGTAAAATGAGTCACAGAAAGATTAAATAACTTGCCCAGAGCAAGTCCCAGGCTGTGGTGGGGGCAGAAAGAAACTTCAGTATTAAAATAGCCCTCAGAATGTGCTATTTGAAAGAATTATCTAAAACGGTATGTTACTATCTTAATGGGCAATACATCATAATACAGAGGTCTATTAACCTCATTTCCCCCCATGCAGTTTCAGTTGGAGATGGTATTTCTCACTGCCTACTTTTAACTTGTGTAAAGTTGCTGTGTGCTGAAGAGTAATCATGGTCCATTACAGTAGTAGCTGAATTTCATGTGTGTATACTTAATTTGTATAACATTTTGTATGCTTGAGGATGAAGAGTGCTATTGAAATAAGATTAAATCTGACACACATAGAGGCACGTCCTGCATCCTTTGCACACCTAAAAAGTCCACTTGATGTCAGTAGGCATTTTAGATATGCAAGGTATACGGGCCCACGTATAAACAGCAAAGATCTACCTGGTAAGAGAGGAAAGATGGGTTTGAGATTAAGGAGATGGATTGGCACTCAGGAGAGCCAGGTTCTGTTCTTGGATCTACCATAGGCTGCCTCTGTGACCATAGAAAAGCCACACGATCTCAGTGTACCATGGAGAATAATAGTTCACTACATCAAATGAGAGCTATAAGACTTTCAGATACTATGGTGATGGAGGTTATATACATTCCAAGATACAGAAAAGAAGTACAGTTCTTTACTAAGAGCCTTCACTGAATTCTGCTATGAACACCAAGGAAGGTCTGAAATATTAAACATGGTTCTGAAAAGTCAGTACAACACCCCACCAACTATAACACAAAACACATGGAACAGGATTGTTTCCAGAAATGTGTAGCAGCATAGAAAACAATAGAATTAACCTGAAAAATACATTTGGTACAGTATCAAGGTGTTTTCATAACTTCTTCTAATGTTACATAAAACAGCAAAGCAAACAAATACACATAACCTACATGCATTTCCACAATTAGGAAAAACAGCTTCCCCCCCAATATAAAGTGCTTTGCAGAGACCAAAAACTATTTACATTGATCAGAATGCCAAGCATGGACATCATCTTCTGTGAATTTATGTGAAATTTGGCAAACAATGATAAATTCTTCATATTGGGACTTGGTCTTGATTTCCTTTTATAACTTGGCCCCATAAACTATCTTCATAGTCCATTATTTGGTCTGCTTGTAAAATTGGCATTTAAAGTCTGAAACTGTATGTACCATGCCCTTCGTGTAGTATGACTGGCATTTGAACAAGTCCCATTTATCATTGGCAGGTTCATCTGAAAGAGACAGGCTTGACCTATAAGGTTTGGATCAGGATTAATATTTCCCCAAAGTCTGGAAGTGTTTGTCCATAATGGCCAGAACCAAACTCCTATATCCAAAGGAGGTCACCTGTGAAATTTCTGTCCAGATCTTGGTTCAACTTCTGCAATTCCCCTCACTGTAGTTCAGGGATCTATGGGTTCAGGTTCAGATCCACTCCTAATAGAAAGGCAATTTAAAATATACTGTTTCCACAAATAAATGGCCTTGTAGCAGGAAAAGATAAATGAACAGTAAGACTAAGCAGTGGCTGGTTTGGGGATTGAACCTGGGGCTTCCATTCCTAGTGTAAGCAGAGTCAGGATGAGCTCTACGCTGACATCTGGTGGTGAATTATGGCGAGTGTGGAAAAAAACTCCAGGGGCTGATCTTGTTTGCATAGGCACACCCACTCGCCTGGCAGGAAACAACAGCAACTCAAAGTGGTTACTTTGGCTGGTGTGGGATCCCCAAGTTCTCTGTTATTGGGGCAGGAAGAATAAAGTTTTGTTACCCTGATTCTGTGAATCAAGGGCAGTGAACCTGTTGTATGACAGAAGGACTGAGTGAGTTCTTCACCATTACCTAAGTAGCACTTGCTTGACAAGGGGCATCGGTTACAAAACCCAGTGAAGGGAGAGAGGATGGGGACAGGTATTTGTACCTGATGGTATGGGCCCTCTCTGAGGGGGTTGAAACACCAACTGCACTACCCCCTCTCTCCACTGTTGAATATCAGAACTAACTTTGATTCCATTAGAAGTCTAGTTACAGACTGCTAAGCTGAATTCATGTTGGGCCAATGGTGCACCAGCACTAGGGCTCCCCTACTGTGAGCTGAAATCATTAAGAGCTGAGATCACTGAGGCTGTGTTAACTAGTGGGGGAGCCTGAAGCTAAGTGGCTGGCGGAGCAGCTAGCAGAGTGGAGCCTTGCGGGACGGTTGGAGTGGAGCTGAGCGACTCACAGGTTGGTGAGTGGAGTGGAGCGGAGCGGCTGGAGGAGCAGCGAGCAGAGCGGAGCCTTGTGGGAGCGGCCCAAGGGACGGCTGAAGTGGAGCAGAGCTGAGCGGCTCACAGGTCGGTGAGCAGAGTGGAGCAGCTGCCGGAGCAGTTTGTGGGACGGCGGGAGCAGCTCATGGGGCAGCTGGTGGAGTGGAGCGGCTCGTGGTGAAGGCTGCAGCGGAACCCCATTGGCCTCGGATCACGTAAGGTGCCCCTTAACGCCCTGTGTGCCCCCCCCCCCGAACTCTGGGGCTGCGCTGACCAGG